AACAGTAGGTCCAATACACATTTTGGTAAGAAATTTAACTTGGATTGTAATTTCAGTTGTCCAATCAGTTCTACTTTGTCACTTAATCAACGAAACATGGTTCAATATCGTCGCTTTTAATTTATGTCAATAGCTACCATGTAAGTGAAAATATCATCGATGATAATCTCATTTCAATTCCATTTAGCTCATCCAAACTAGTATACTAGACCAAGAACTTCATGTCTCGGGAGTAATTCGGATTAATCTCATGAGATGGAAATGATTTGAGACAGCGACCAACTTTAGATTCATTGTAATGTCGTGTTTTCCTCTTCCAGGGAAATGAATCCATTGAATCGAGTGATCTGTCATGCTCCAGGCCAAGACAAATTAATTGGCTATCCGCCGGTGTACCGAATCGTCCAACAGGGGTGTCCAAACTATCCAATAGAGGCGGCACACCCTCCAGGGATGTTGACTCGATGTCGGTTAAGTACGTCTATCCTTGCAGGCATGTTTGCAGCTAGTATATGATCTCGTCACTTTAGCTAGATAAAAGGAATGCGTCTGGAGCAACATTATGAAAACTAGAATTCATCGCATTTGCTTATCACACTTGTGCAGTATGGGGATCGAGATAAAACATAGTGGGTTATGTCCACGAAACTTCGCGCCGTTCTACAGGAATGTTGACGTTCTTATCTCCCCCTAACGGCGGGAAGACTGTCTCATTAAAGTGACAACCCACAAATGAGTGGTAAAGAGATCACGTGCAAGTGCTCGAAGAGAGCTAGTGTGAAGGAGAATCATGATCGACAAAAGATACACATCCTTCTTTGAGGACACATGATGGTATGTTGTGACAGCGCAACTTGGCACATAGAATGCACACCCAAATGCATAAATACGAATATCGTCAGGTTTGTACCCAATAACCAATTGTAACGTCATATAGGTAGGGTGGCAATGGGCCTCAAGGCGAACCAACATAAATGCGTATAAGGATTGCATAGCCCTAGGCAAAAACCGAAAACTTGGTACGATTACCAAATTCGGGTGATCATTTAAATTGCGCTTTATGATTGCTAAGTGAGGCTATTTGGGGTGAACATGGGAATTCAATGTTCAATTATAAACCCAAAATACATGCAATACTTTATCAAAAACCGTCGATATAAACTCTCCGGCATTATCCAGTCTCCCGAACCTTAAAGGATAAGTAGGGTGGTGAACCATTAATCGGCTAGGAGGTTTAGCAGTAATGTGTGTGGACAAACATGTGACCAGTTTGTCAATTCATCAACCAAAATCATAAGTCTTTATATGGTCCACATTTTGATTGGATTAGTCCATATATATTCCCTTGAATCCACTATGAAAAAAGGTGATTTCGTATCTTTGCAAAAAATGATATAGAAAATCAATTTCCCTAATGAGTAGGCTTGGCAAAGTGTGCTTGTGGGCACAAGATCCTTACTTCGGGTAAAGAGATGCATCGTAGCATCCTTGTTCGACCTAAGTGTCCCAAAAAGTCATGCCAAAGCAAATGAACTGCTCAATCACCAAGCTCCAAGTCGGCCATATGTGGTGTGTTCCCAGTTTGGGAACAACCTATTGACCCCAGTTAAAGCTTCAGGCTCATTTTTGGAGGTGGTGTAAAGATATTCCACTCTATTTTCTTCAGTTGTTTCATTTATGGTCATTGTTATCTCGAATATCCTTAAAAACTCAACGACAGGGAGAATTTAAGGTCCCTTAAATGGTGATGCAGTACCATTCATACAATGAGGAGTGTGCCAATACTCTTAATTAGGTTGGATAAACCTGAAGTCGTTGTTAAAGATGTGATATAGGTGTAAAGTTAGTGTGTGTAGTACGCATACATACAAACAACTAACTTTCTCACGTTCTTACCTAATCACGTGTTTAATTGAATTGGTCACATGTATTAAGAAACATGATTCAATTAACTGATATGTAAGGACAATATCAATAAGATTATCCATAAGTAAAACATACACCAAACCTGAATCCAAGAACATGGAAAAATGTTCATAAAGTAAACCAAAGTTACTAGGGTGGATTCGGCCAACTAGGCCATCCATTTCAAAATTCTGCTTTTCCAATGATGTTTGGTGGAGCGAAATTAGTCTCACATATTGACTACTAGAATGGTACTCCTTAACGACATTGGTAGGGGTACAAACAGGTGCATAACCAATGATCTATTCCATCAAGATGGAAGTAGATTCTGTAGGGTTAAGGTTTGGGAATACTATCCATTATTCTTGAAGTTTTAGGTCTTAGGTGCCAACGATCATGCTTCGGGCATGATGCCACACCTTGTCAAGTCCTGATTCTACCATATGTTGTAAAAACAAACTTGAAATTGGATTGTGAGAGAGTATCTCATTCGGTGTATCCCTCTGAAGCAACGCATCACCATTCGGTTAGGCTTTGACTGAACTGGGTAGAGCCATTCGGTATACTCCAGCCAAACTTGGTCCATACCTTTCTCTTATGTTTGTGGTAGTAATCAGATATGAGAATTTGGTAAATTTCCTCTTTCTACACTGCTGCTTCAGGGGCGAGTGACAAACATGAAGGACGAGAAAAGTATTCTCTAGTCAAAATTCGATCGGATTTATAAACTTCAAAATTGTACTCATTCATGGAAGTAATCATAATGTACTTTAGGCAATATTTTTCATGATTAGAAGATCCATAAAAGCGAGCCAAAGAGCCATGAAATCCCCGTTCATGAAGTACTTTTGTTGGTAATGCTTCAGGCATAAGTCTTCAAATGAAGATCATAGAGGAGGCTTATTCAGCTCTTCCATGCCATTGTTGGCTTCAATGGTGTTTCAACTTCTTGATAGTCAAGTGGAGATTTGCATCTTGTACCCCACATAAAGTGGTTTCGATTAGAAACGTCCAAATTAGAAAAATCGAACTTGTTACAGTACGACAATCCACTGAATGAAGGGAACAAGATTGTGATTGGTGCTATGGGAATTAATCATCCATAAGCATCAAAGTTAGAACATTCATGTTCTAAGACATGGTTTTCATGAAAAACGTCAGGTTTTCATGGGTGTATTGTTTTATGAAAACTTCGGGTTTCAAATGCACTAAATTTAAAACTACAAGTTCAATTTAGTTTTTTATGAACAATTAGTTCATAATGAAAGGTTCCTACAAGAAACACAGAATGCAATATACTAATTTGAATATAGTGGATTTGAGGTTCTTCGAGAACTGAAGTGTGAGAGCTTCATAGCTTCATTAATACGAAAGTATGTGATGATTCAAATTATAAAAATAAATTATTGAATCGTTAATGTCCAAAAGTGATATTCAGGTCAATAATTTTGGCTTCATTATCAGATTAATGCACTGCAAGTCACTTTTTATTAATTTGATGGATCGGGACCATTCGTGGTCGATCGTAGAAGCAAAATAATTATAACATTCGGGTTAAAATTATTTAAAATGCCAAAAATTAGCATTAGATTCCAGAAGCCATAACCCAATAACATTGGGCTTGGGTGCCGTGAGTAGGGCACCAAAAATATGGGCTAAAAAGAAGAAAAAACAAGCCAAAATTTGGCTTTTAGGCTAAGAAAATGAGGCAACCCAGCATTGGATTGCTGGCTGCTATTTTAGACAAGCTCATGTAGCCTCAAGCTACAGGCTAGGCTCGGGCAGGTTACAAAAATAGCCTAATTGGGCATGCAAGCTACATGCTTGCAGCAAAGATGAGTCGGGATATAGGACAAGGTCTAGCAGCCTATTGCTGCTGGCAGATTTGGGCCGAAAGCATAAGATAGGTCCAAAAGGGAAATGCTACAGGTTTCATTTATGGAGTTGGGCTACGGGCCCTAAGCAAACCAGCCAAGCCGAAGGCCTAGTGTGTCCATGTACTCCGCAGCAAAGCCTAGAGGGCTGCTGCCAAGGTCCATACGTCGAAGTGATGTCGTTTTTACGAGTGCCTCCACACAGTTGGGCTTCAAGCTAGCATATTGGTCCTCACGACCGTGGTGCCGCATGATGTCCAGTTTCCCTTTTTTTTGTTTTTCTTTTCGAAATTTCTAGGGTTGTAGAAATCCTAATATGCTTCTAATTTATGAATATACTTTGACTCACAAATTCCACATAGCAATTAATTACGTAATGCATGAAACAAATATATATATATATATATATATATATATTGACAAATATATGAACATATATATAGATATATGAACATATACAATATATATATATATATATATATATATATCGGAAGGAAAATATAAACATAGGGGGGTTCATACATCATGGCGAATGTTTTCATACTTCAAGGTTGTTTCAAATATCTTACTTTATTGGGTAAAGTACAAAAAACTACCTCAACTATTGGTGTCACGACACTTTCATACCTCATATTTTAAAATCGATAATGTCATACCTCATCATACGAATTTGTGCCAATGTTATACCTTCCGTTAGCTTGGCGTGAATTTCTCAGTTAAATGCTGATGTGGCTTGATTCAAGGCCCACTTTTTATTAAAAAATTAATAAAATATTATTAAAAACTAAAAAAAAAATCATTTAATATTTTTTTAAATATTAAAATAATAAAGAAAAGTAAAAAAAAAAAAAAAACAAAACCAAACCTTTCGTCCCTTTTCCCCCTCCCTCCCCATCTACCTACTGCAGCCCAAAAACAAAAGAAGAAGGAAAAAAAAAAAAAAAAAACAAACAAACAAACAAACAAAACAAAACTTCATCCTTCCCCCCCCCCCCCCCCCGCGCCCCCCAGGTGTCTTTTTCTTTTCTCCCCCTAAGTGGAAAGAAAATTGATGTCAGCAAGAGTACTACTGATAACAAAGATGTGTCTACTTCTACAGAAGATCTAGGTAAATTTAGCTTGTCTGGACATTATGCTTGTAAATTAGTATTTATATATCCCAGCGATAAGTAGTGAGGCTCATAGTGTATCTCGTTAATTGGTGTGTGTCCATGGTTTTATTTTTTGGTCCATGTGTTTCAGTTCCTAATTAGTACTTGTGTGTGTTGTTATATGTTGAACAAGTCTCTATCTTTATGATCGTGTTCATGTAAATCAATGTTTTAAAAGGCGAAGGTGTAGGCGAGGCTATCATGCCTAGGCGAAAGCCTTAGAGCGTGAGGCAAAGCTTCATGAGACCAGCTACTGTATAATAATCTATCACTAGTTTGGTGAATCTTTGTGATAATTGATAGCAATGTTCACAAATAAGGCTTGTACTAATGAATGAATGGCTATACTAATGACAGCTATCTCTTTTTTATAATCTTTTTCATTTGTGATTTTGATTTGTGCTTTTGGGTATTTTGTTCACTAATTGAAGAAAATGAAGACGCTATTCCTGACACCTTAGGCCAGGAAAGGGTTGATGCCTTGAGTTTCCCAGTGTTGCCTGAAAATGGACAGCCAGATTTTGATATTTCCTCTGTGAATCTACCTCCTGATCAGATGCGAACAGTTGAAAACATCAGTACACTAATTTCTGAGGTGCCATGTACCCCTTATTTTCTCTCATTACTATCTACCCCTTGTATTTTCTCATTTGTACGAGTTTGAAGGTTTATGTCCTTTCTTTTCCTTGAGATTTGTGTTGTAAAATCTAGTCCATTAAACTGAACTCTAGTCTCTTTGTTTTTTCAGTTAGCATTGGAGAAAGAAGAGTTGATAGAGTCTTTGGCATCCGAGTCATCTCAATGGTCCAAGCTGAAGGTAGCATGTTTTTTAATTTTCAACTCAATATAGGATTGTGCTGCGGCTTTTGACTTGTTAGCATGTAGTCCACTTTAAGCAAGAAAGGACTTTCTTCGGGACTGATTAATATATTTTAGCGCTGAGGCCATGCTGTTGATACATAGTTGAAAAACCATTAACAATACTAACGGAATATGGAATAATGCGACCAAAAGAGGCCTATGCACTTCTCATGTGCTTGGTTCTGAGAATGGTCTTAGTATCATCTATGGGCCGCGTGCTCATACTCCGGTGCAAAATGTGTTTTCAAGTCATATCCTTCGCTGTCATTCAAGTGTTTATGAATGAAGGAATTGAACGATGAATTGTCCTGGAAACTTGAAGCTCAAACTCAGAGATTAGAGCTTTTGACTGCCCAAAGTATGGCCAATGAAAATATTCTTGTCAGACAACCCACTCCTGTTGATATGCCTGACAATACTCCACATGCGGATGAAGGCGACGAGGTACTGTATTTTCTTTGATATAAATATTATTTGTACTAAATGCAAAGTTACATTATTCCTCAAAAAAACTAAACAGTAGTGTGATTGCTTTGCTATTGAAAGACATTTTGTTGTTTGTAACCCTCACAATTATCTTTTCTGATACAAGCCGATAGTTGTCTTATTGCTCAAAGTAAAAAAGAAAAGAAAACGAAAACCCAGAGTGCAAATGATTGGCTGGTATGGAAACATCATCTTTCTTTATATTTGCGTATGTAGGTAGTGGAAAGAGTCTTAGGATGGATTATGAAGCTTTTCCCCGGAGGGCCATCAAAACGAAGAACTAGTCAGCTTCTGTGAGATTCAAGTCAGCATAGCATGCCAGCAATGCCTGCGCTCGAATCTGGTTTTGTTTTCCTTCACTCCCTTGGCGTATTGAAGGTCGTAATTTGTACATTTTTTTTGAGTCAATCTTAGAGTCCGTTCTTTTTCAATGGAAGAAATATGATCTTGTACGTACTTAAGAGGGCGGCCTTGTCATGTGGTGGATATGTAAAACCTTGTTTGAATGACAATGAGATCACAACTGGACTACTTGTGTGGCGCATAACTGGTTGTACTGGTTATGTGAAACACGAGAAGTTTGAGAGCCCTAATGCGATAAGAGTCATGGAGTTTCTTGTATTGCAGCTGTCCTATTTTCGATCCTTATCTGATATACACTAGTATATCAAGTCATGATGGGACTAAAACTCTTGGAGATAGAGATCAACACTCCTTCTGTTAATAGGCTGGACCGAGTGGATCTCTATCGATGAATGATTGTATAAATAGTTGAAGTCCCTGCTTCCACACCAAGGCTTCCTTAATATCTAAAACCCTATTCACTTAGAGAGGAATATTAACGAGTGTTGGAAGTAGAAGACTTCATCTGTTGCTCTCATAATGGCGATACCTCCAGGTAAGTTGATTTCTTGTGATGCACGGGATGGTCCTTCAATCACTGAAACGTATATGCTTATGGTAACCCTAGTGTCGTGTTGGTTTGCTATGCAGTTGTAGTTTGATTATTTATATTACTGCTTACATGTGGTATCAGAGCCAACCCAACATGGCTAGGGTTCCTTAATCAATATATGGTTAACTCTCGATATAAAGACATGCATATATGCTTTGATCCTGTGTCATTAAAATGCTTCCACTGCATACTGACAATTGTTTTGCATGGTCACTATATGTAATCAACTATTGCTGTGGATACCTCCAGTTGTGTTTGCTATTATGTGCAGATAAGATCATTTAAAGAATGGTTACGATACTGGAATACTCAACCAAGAAGAACTTTGGATTCACATTCTATTTATCAAAACCAAACGGATAAATAAGATTTGAATCGTAAACAAGGATCTCAACACCTAATCTGCTCAAAAGTGTTTAGTTTGTTGATTTTGGCTTGTTGTCTAAAGAGTCAAACATGTGATTCATCTGTATTAAGTGAATAATAATCTGCTCAAAAGTGTTTATTTATTCAAGTTAAACAAATGAATCAATGTATAGTGAAGTATTGAATTGACAAGATTACATTCTTCATCTGCTCAAAAGTGTTGGAGTTATGTAAACTGCCCTTGTATTCAATATTTTGGCTATGCAAATCTAGTATAAATGGTTTATGTCCAAAGATGATACTGTGCTTATACGATTATATGTCAGGAAAAGATTAAGTATCATTTTCCGTCTATTTGTTGACACTTATATGACTAACAACTGTAAAAATTAACGTTTGGTTTTCCAGCTCCTCACATGACATCCCTCAATTTCAACAATATTGAGACCTTGACCGGTTCTAACTACAAGAAGTGGAAGGAGGATGTTGAAATGGTTCTTGGCCTTATGGATCTCGATTTGGCATTAAGGGAGGAAAAACCTGCAGCTATTACTGCAGAGAGCACTGCAGATCATAAAGCAAAGGTTGAGAAGTGGGAGAGAACAAATCGGATGTCACTGATGATCATGAGGAAAGCAATGGCTCCATCAGTTAAAGGGGGTGTTCCAAAACAAGATAATGCAAAAGACTTCTTGGCTGCAGTTGGGGAAAAGTTTAAAGAATCTGACAAGGCAGAAACTGGGACTTTTCTAACTCAAATTACTTCAATGAAATTTGATGGTGAGGGAAGTGTCAGGGAACACATTCTGAAGATGGTTGATCTTGCTCAAAAGTTGAAAGACCTTGAAGTACCCATGACTGATCAGTTCCTAGTTCATATGGCTTTGAACTCCCTGCCTTCGAAATATGGGCAGCTTAAAGTTTCATATAACACTCAGAAGGTTAAATGGGGCATAGATGAACTGATCACTATGTGTGCACAAGAAGAAGATCGGCTCAAGAGTGACAAATCAGTGGATGTAAACTTTGTGCAAGGAGAAAAACGCAAAAGGGACTTCACTCAAGGTTCAACCGTGGCTGCTGGTAAGAAGAAGAAGAAAGAAATTTCTTCTTCATTTAAAAATGCTAACATCATCTCTAAGGGATCTCATAAAATTAAAACTGCTAATGTTGAAACTGAGAAAGAAAAGGAGTGTTATTTTTGCAAAGAGACAGGTCACTTAAGAAAGAATTGCAATGGCTTCAAGAATTGGCTTGTTAAGAAAGGTAATGAAATAAATGTTTTCGTATGTGTTGAGTCCAATCTAGTTTACATTCCTCCTAATAGTTGGTGGTTTGACACGGGCTGTTCTATTCACATAACCAATTCCTTGCAGGGCTTCTCAAAAACAAGGGTGATAAACAATGAAGTCTACAATGTCTATGTGGGGAATGGGAGCAAAGTTGCTGTCGAATCCATAGGAAGTGTCAAATTAGTTCTTTCCTCTAGCTTTATTTTAGAATTAAGTCCAGTACTTTATGTACCTTCCATGCGAAGGAATTTAATTTCTGCATCTAAGTTAGTTAAGTCCGGCTTTACATTTGTGGGTGACAGTCAAAGTGTAAAGTTTTTCCATTCAAATGACTCGAATAAATTGCTTGGTGAAGCTAATCTCAAAGTTGATATGTGGCAAATGAATTGTACTTATGAGATTGAATGTTTTAATGTTCAAAGTGTTGGTTCTAAACAAGTGCTCTCTCATGCAAAAACCTCAATGCTTTGGCACAAAAGGTTGGGGCACATCTCTAAAGAAAGGATCATCACACTTACAAAACAAGACTTGTTGCCACAACTTGATTTCAGCAACTTTAAAGAGTGTATTAACTGTTTTAAGGGAAAGCTCACTAATACTAGGAAAATAGGGTCAAACCGTAGCCAATGTCTATTAGAAATTATACATACTGACATTTGTGGACCTTTTCCAATTAAAACCATCTGTGGAAAATCATATTTCATAACCTTCATTGATGATTTTTCACGGTTTGCATATATTTTCCTTATTTCTGAAAAAACTGAAGCCTTGCACTGTTTTAAAACATTTCATTTGGAAGTTGAAAAACAACTGGACAAACACATTAAGATTGTGAGATCCGATAGAGGTGGTGAGTATTTTGGCAGGTTCACTGAGGCTGGACAACACAAAGGACCTTTTGCGACATATCTTGAACAAAATGGCATCATGGCTCAGTATACTGCCCCTGGGACTCTTCATCAAAATGGAGTTGCTGAACGAAGGAATCGAACCCTAAAAGATATGATCAGATCTATGTTTGCACATTCAAAGCTTCCAATGTTTCTTTGGGGAGAAGCGCTGAAAACTGCAAACTATATATTGAATCGGGTACCAAGCAAGTCCGTGGACAAGATTCCGTTCGAAGCTTGGACTGGAAGGAAACCGAGCTTTAACCATTTCCATGTATGGGGTTGCAATGCCGAGGCCAGGTTTTATAATCCAACAGAGAAGAAACTTGATCCAAGAACCATCAGTTGCAAGTTCATTGGGTATTCTGAGAAGTCTAAAGGGTATAAGTTCTATTGCCCTAACAGTCACTCGAGGGTCATGGAAACACATAATGCAAGATTTCTTGAAGAAGAGGATGAGACTGACTTCAGTAAATCAGCAGCTTCATCCCCAGATTTCGAAGAAATCCCACTTAACAGTGAATTAACTGATTTGCAAGCATCCACCCTCAATATTCCTATGCAGCCACATTCTCTTCATAACAGTTTACATATATCTCATGAAGATGAGATAGTAAATGAGGACAACATGACCCATGCAGAGGCTCAAGAAAACGAAATACATGCACCAGTACAAACCCCTGGAGAAGATCAGGTAAATGCTCCAGGCACTATAATTTTGGAATTAAATGTTCGAAAATCACAGCGGGTACGAAAAGCAGCATTATTGCCTGATTTCGTGTACCTAAATAAGGCAGAATACATTATAGGTGATGAGGATGATCCCTTGACCTACAATCAAGCCATATCAAGTGCACGATCAACGTTATGGAAACAAGACATGCATGAAGAACTGGAGTCTATGGAGAAAAACAATGTCTGGAGTCTTGTTCCACAGCCACCTGGGACAACAAAAATTATTGGTTGCAAGTGGGTGTTCAAGACAAAATGAGACTCACAAGGCAACCTTGACAAACACAAAGCAAGGCTAGTAGCGAAAGGTTTTACACAAAGGGAAGGCATTGACTACAATGAGACGTTTTCTCCAGTCTCAACAAAAGACTCCATGAGAATAATCCTAGCTATCACAGCACACTTTGATTTAGAACTTCATCAAATGGATGTCAAGACGGCATTCCTAAATGGTGACCTTGAAGAAGATATCTACATGCAACAAGCACCTGGATTTGTTGAAAGGGGGAAAGAAACGATGGTTTGTAAGTTGAACAAGTCTATATACGGCTTAAAACAAGCTTCGAGGCAATGGAATAAGAAATTTGATCAGGTAATGGCAGCTTCAGGTTTTCAAGAAAACAAAATGGATGAGTGTATTTATCTGAAAGTCCTTGGCTCAAAGGTTATAGTCTTAGTATTGTACGTGGACGATATATTGTTAGCCAGCTCCGATATGTCTCTACTACAGACAACTAAGAGTATGCTCATTCGAAACTTTGACATGAAGGACTTGGGAGAAGCTCGATTCGTTTTGGGAATAGAAATTATAAGAGATCGTGCTAAGAAGTCCCTTGGTCTCTCCCAAAGGCAATACATCGACATAGTCACTAAAAGATTCAACATGGACAAGTGTTTGAATGGAGAACTGCCTATTGGCAAAGGAGACAAACTAAGCAGTGATCAATGTCCCAAAAATGAATTAGAGAATGAAGGAATGAAGGATAAGCCCTATGCATCTCTTGTAGGGTGTCTTATGTATGCCCAGGTATGCACAAGACCGGACCTGGCTTTTGCAGTAAGTGTACTAGGAAGGTTTCAATCAAATCCTGGTACAACACATTGGGTTGCAGCGAAAAAGGTACTGAGGTATCTTAAAAGAACAAGAGACTTCATGTTAACTTACAGTTATGTGGACAAGCTGGAGTTGGTGGGATTCACAGATTCAGACTTGGCAGGATATGTGGACGACAGAAAATCAACGAATGGCTACATTTTTCTGTTGGCTAATGGTGCAATATCGTGGAAAAGTGCAAAACAGAAGGGTATTGCATCTTCAACCATGGAAGCTGAGTTTATAGGGTGCTATGCAGCAACTCAACAAGCCATTTGGCTTAAAAACATGGTAAGCGGATTGGAAATCGTTGACAATGTTGACAGGCCCCTCAAGTTGTATTGTGACAACAAAGCTGCAGTTTTCTTTTCAAAGAATAACAAAAGGTCATACGCTAGTAGATTGATGGATATTAAGTACTTAAAAGTGAGAGATGAAGTGAAGAAAGAGACTGTCGAAATTGAGTACATCCACACAAGCTTAATGGTAGCTGACCCGATGACAAAGGCTTTACCAGTGGGAGTCTTCAAGAAACATGTCTTTAACATGGGAGTGAAAGAACTCTTTGATTCCGTTAATGAGTGGGAGTAAGCACTCCATGAACTACGTAGGTTTTATTGCAGTTATCTTTATTATTGTTGACAGTTGTTAATTATTATTGATTTGTTTGAATAGCTGATTATGCTTTGACAAACGACTTTGGTACTGGAATCATTTCAGTTTGTTATGTGGAACTGATATCTGACGGTATAAATTATCAGTTCTCAACATCATGACTCGTAAAGGTGGCATAGTGTTTTCATGATAAATATGTATGTGATCACAGAGTGCAAAGTGCAAGCAATGCGTGTTTTGTTTTCTGTGGTCCTATATTTTTCTTAAAAATGACAAGTCACTGAGTAGGATCAGTTGCAAGCTTTTTGTGAACTCAATGATCATCGTGATTCTTATTGTATTGAGGCATATCATTGACATTCAAGTGGGAGAATGTAAAACCTTGTTTGAATGACAATGATATCACAACTGGACTGCTTGTGTGGCGCATAACTGGTTGTACTGGTTATGTGAAACACGAGAAGTTTGAGAGCCCTAATGCGATAAGAGTCATGGAGTTTCTTGTATTGCAGCTGTCCTATTTTCGATCCTTATCTGATATACACTAGTATATCAAGTCATGATGGGACTAAAACTCTTGGAGATAGAGATCAACACTCCTTCTGTTAATAGGCTGGACCGAGTGGATCTCTATCGATGAATGATTGTATAAATAGTTGAAGTCCCTGCTTCCACACCAAGGCTTCCTTAATATCTAAAACCCTATTCACTTAGAGAGGAATATTAACGAGTGTTGGAAGTAGAAGACTTCATCTGTTGCTCTCATAATGGCGATACCTCCAGGTAAGTTGATTTCTTGTGATGCACGGGATGGTCCTTCAGTCACTGAAACGTATATGCTTATGGTAACCCTAGTGTCGTGTTGGTTTGCTATGCAGTTGTAGTTTGATTATTTATATTACTGCTTACAGGATATTGAAAGAGATAGATTAAGAGTATAGATGTGAGAGATGCATTGTGCATTTTTTTGTTTGCAGTTTTTTGTTACCAGTATTATGTTGTATTTGTGACTAGACACCTTGGTGCTTAAGCCCCCAAGAAAATGGAAATGAAACAAATGATTTCCCCTTCCCAGGTGTCCTTTATATTTGGCGTTGCATTTTGTCGAATGCGTTTGAGGCTTTCGTCACAAGTTCGGTTTTTGAATTAGCGATTGCGTTATTAATCAGTTGGATCTGAACCAAGTTTGTCGTATATATTACTATAAATACATGTCTACAAAGACAATCGGCAATTTTATCATCCTCTTGCATGACTCACAATTTGTAATTTGCTATTTCATCTATCTCCATCAGAGTACAGTTTGTAAAGGCAGGCGGCCTGCTTGGTATCCTTCTTCAATTCAATTTCCCGTTTTGAAATATGATACATGTAGCTACATTACTTAATATTTATTAGTTTCAAAATTAAAAGACAATTGAGTCCAAGAAGGATACCGTACAACCTTATATATTCGTTTTTTCTTTTTGAACAAATGATAATGGGGGAGGGGTGGATTTATCCTCGCAATGGACTAACAATTAAATCTAATACCTCTCATTTACAATGAAGAGAAATACTACTATATCGTTAGCCAAACACACTTTTATATGCTTCGAAGAAGAAAACCCCAAAGCTATGCACAATAACGGATGGAAAATTCAAGTCATTGATAGAATGGACTTTCACTAGAAACATATACAATCTCGTGAATTACAAGGACGAAAATGCTAAAAACAAAATATATACACACACACACACACATACAAATATGAAAATTCACACACAAACCAGTATTTTATTTATTTATTTATTTAATCTCTTAGATATTTTGCTTTAAAATAATTTAAATTACTGGGAGGGAATTCAAAAACACTCTGCTATAAATTCCCCTAAATCTATCAAGAAGTGTAATTCAAATCTCTGTCAAAAAATATGAAACATTATCCTGATTAATTGTCTTAATTCACGCATACAAATTGGTTTAATATTTGGGAATTTTAATGAAAAACTTCTGATACTGTTTACTTTAATAAAAAAAACTATATTTTCACATTAAAAGGTCAATCATAGTACTATTTATTTTACCTTTTATTTTATTTTTATCGTTAAAACTAAAAGTTTGTAATCGATTTTTATTAGATTTCTTTAATATTTAGGTTGGGTTTATGTGAGATGCACACGTGTGACAAAATCTTTACATAGCGCACCACCGGAGCAAGGAATATGTGGTGGAAACAGCCTCAGCACTCCAGTCACCCTCACTCTCTCCTCTCTCCTCTCTCTCAGCTGCTGCTGCTGCAATGTGTTCTGTCATTGCCAAGCTCCCTTCGCTTCCACTCTCCCTCTCCATCGTCTCCTCATCTTCTTCTTCCTCCAAAGGTAACCCAATTCCAAAACGCTTCGTCTCTGTTTGTATTTGCTTCATATACATATATAAGGCAAGTTTTGTGTGTTTTGTGGTGAAAACTGAAACAGATGGGAAAACCAACTCAAAGTCGGTGAAGCTGAGAGAGGACTGGCGGCAACGCTCCAGGCCCATTCCACCCGGCGGCACTTACCCGGCTAAAGACCACTGCAGGTCTCTTGGGCCCGTTTGATAATTGTTTCGTTTTTAGTTTTGAATTTTCTTTGTTATGTTACATATCACCAAAATTAAAAACGAAATGGTTATTAAATGGCTTCATTTTTTTCATTGCCAACTTTTCGTTTTTGAAGAATTTTGACTTCTGTTTTCTCTATTAAATTTATGTGTTTCAAGTTTGAACTTTTTTGTTCATTTGTTTGCTGAATCTTTGTGTGTTGGGCAGTCGTTGCGGGTTGTGTGACACATATTACATAGCCCATGTCAAGGAAGCTTGTGCTTTCTTAGGAGATGGAATGTCTAAGATTGAAGTGAGTTCTTGTTCCTCTCCCAATCCTTCTACTTTTCTGAATTTCAAACTTGAAATTTGAAAAGTTGGTTGATGCAAGTTATTATTATCTCATGAAGTCCTGAAACCGGTTCGAGGCATAGTATACGCTATGAATTATCTACTACTATACCGAAATTTGAAGTACTAAGTGATCAAACTTCGAAATGGGGTTCATAATCTGATTCCTTAATGACCCAACCCAATTTTGCCACCCATGATTTCCAATTGAATCATCACTGCTCTTTTGTTTTCGCATTCAGGGTTTGGAACCTGTAGTTCATGGTAGAGGGAGGAAACCGGGTTCCTCAGATGAAATGTACTTGGGTGTCTATGAAGAGCTCTTGTATGCTCGTAAAGTAAAGCCTGTCGAAGGTACTTTTGTTTTATAGGCTTTGGTATCTGTCTCATTTTTTTAGGCATCTTAAAGTCATCCTATTTAACATTGCTACTAATTCTACCAACTCTGCCAGTTCAAGTTTCAGTTTTAAAAAATTTTGAACTTCATTAATTATTATAAAGAATCACAAATTGTGTAAATAATTTCTCATGTATATTGCGTAAATTGCTTTAACCATATACTTGATAGTGCATCTTTGGATTATGGTTTGGTTTTGCTTGTCAATCTTTTGCCTCATTTTCTTTTATGGCAGGAGCTCAGTGGACAGGAATAGTAACAACTGTTGCAATCGAAATGCTGAAATCAGGCATGGTGGAGGCCGTCATTTGTGTACAGAGGTTGTGGCCTGAATTCGTTGGAGCATAATACATAATAAACGCATATGCCATTGCTAATCAATCCTTTATTTCTTTCTTTTGGAATGTTAAATCTTCTTATGGTTTTAATTTTCACAGTGACCCAAACGACAGATTTACTCCGCGACCTGTATTAGCAAGGTTTGCATCTAGTTCATTTTTGCTTTATAATAAATTTCTTCTAATATTTTGATATTTCTCAATTAAGATTTTCTTTTTGTTTTCTGGTTATTGTCATTTCATCCACACTATGTCATTTATCTTTGCCTCTTCTCAATAGGACACCAGAGGAAGTTCTAGCTGCTAGAGGTGTCAAGCCGACATTATCTCCTAATCTGAATACTCTTGCCCTAGTTGAGGTACCTGGTATTCTTTTCCATCAGTGATAGAAATCTTATTTACTATTTGTGCCATTTAACATGCTTTGTCATTCATTCAACATTGGTAAGAGTAAGTGATAAGTGTCTTTTATATCAAAATAGAAGAAAGGTCGTCCTTTAAAAGCTAAACCAGTTAAGCATGAGAAGACATGTATACGGTTATTGAAATGCCCAAATGTGTTGGCTTTGATATATTTGGGCAATCACGCTAAAGAAAGTTGGGGCATTCTCTAATGTGGATAATGTTTTTGAGTGGACAGCAAATACAGTTTGCACTTTGCAGTTCTTCCTAGTCCTTCTTAGACTTCCTCTTGAGGTGAGAGTCTTAAGTATCTAATTAAGCAACTATGGTTGCCTGCCTTTGGTACTATCTTCTTTTTGTTTCAAAGGGTGAACTTCCTCCAATATTAACAGCCAGATTTCCCTAATCCTTCTATATAGATTCATTTTTAGTGGAGATTTGTGGGTGTAATATTTGAAGGTGGTCAGGACTGCCAATCAGGAGGAAGAATTCTTGCATGTCTGGCCTTTTACCGTTCCTAACTTGTGGGTTCACATGTTGGAGTGATTTTTCCTTTTAGATTTTGTTTCATGTTTGATTTTAGGCATATTGCGCCCTTGGTCCAGTTGCAGACCTATTCTTTAGAATGGAGTTTGGGCTCTGAAATAGAGAAATCATAGGAACTCAACTATAATCTTCAATTCGTAAAACTTGTAAAATGTTTCTTATAAGTTTTAGTGAGACAAGTTTTTGCATTTTTCCATGAAACAGGCTGCAGGTGTAAAAAAGCTTCTATTCTGTGGTGTGGGTTGCCAGGTGCAAGGTATCATTTATGATATAATCTTGCAATTTCTACTTTCAATCCTTCTCTGTTGTGACTTATACTATTGTAATGCAGAGTAATTTCTTAACATGCAGCATTACGATCTGTGGAGCACCACTTAAATTTGGACAAGCTCTACGTGCTAGGAACAAATTGCGGTCAGTGAAAGCCTTGCTGTATCATTCTATTTTTACAATCAAAATCAGCATATCCTCAACAGCAGAATCATTATGATTACCTGAAACATGTGGTTAACAAATATATAGTGCCCTTTTATTATTTATATGGCATAAGTAATGAGTAACAGAGTTTGTGTCGGTACTAATGCTCTTGTTTGACAGTGGACAACGGGACTCGAGAAGGCCTTGATAAGTTTCTGAAGGCTGCGAGTAGTGAACCAGAGACAGTTCTTCATTACGAGTTTATGCAAGATTACAAGGTTTGTGTTAGTGAATTCTTTGTGCCTGTGCAAGTTTAGAGTTCCAAGGTCTGAGGAATGTTTCAAAGTTGTGAGCCTCAGGTCACTTGCGCCATTGCACCCTTTGTTTAACACTTTCAGCAATATTCTTATTATAAAAAGGGGGAATGACCTGGGGTGGAGTGAGTTCTTAACTAATATTTCGAAAGGTTTCACCCACATTTGTTTGATGTTGCAGTAAATCATGTTTCACAAATCATACTAACATTTCTGGAAGAATTTTTTTATTTTATTTTTATCTCTTAACAATTGACATGTGTGAAAAGAAAAAATACGTGCGAATGGCTTATATCTTTTGCAGATATCTCACTGTATATTTATAGCAGTAAAACAGACACCAGTTGTCTAACAATTCTTATACACCAACTTTTTCTAGTGTAAGCATTTCTTAGCAGCTACTGTTAGCTATTCGTTTCTTTCATTAAATATTCGTGTAATCTTGATAGGTTCACTTGAAGCATTTGGATGGTCATATTGAAGAGGTAAACATTTATTTATTTATTTATTTTTGTGTGTTCAATTTGGTATTTACTCTTCCAATCATGCTAATTCGTGTAGTTTCATATTCTAACCAAAACAGGTTCCTTATTTTTCTCTGCCAGCAAATGACTTAGTTGATGTAATTGCTCCTTCTTGTTATAGGTAATGTTTGTGCTTTTTGCCCATAATACTTCGTAGTTTTTTGAAATTTCTAATGACATATTTCACAATCAGAATTATCACATGAATATTTGATTATCAAATACTATCATTTTTATTGGTCATTCCTTAAATGTTGTCTAACCAGTCTCCCATGTCTTACAGCTGTTTCGACTATACAAACGGTTTAGCGGTGAGTTTTCATCTCTTAATTACTTAACAGGAATGCTATCTTTTATTACAATTACAAGTCTCTTGGAAGCTTAACTTCTACTTTCAGTTGTATAAAGGTGAGTCTCACTCCTATTTCAGGATTTAGTTGTTGGATACATGGGGGTGCCAAAATATTCTGGAATCAGCATGACTCAACATCCACAGTATGTTACGGTAAGGTAATATCATCGTTGAGACTGCGTGTGCGTGCGTGCGGCTTTTTTGTTATACTTATTGGTTAGCATTCTGTTTTATTGCAATCTTTTATTCAACTATGGTGGTAGATGAAAGATCTAAAGCTTTGTCTATGTTTGTCTTGCCTTCAAATTGTAGAAATGAACGTGGAAGAGAGATGCTCAGTCTGATTAAAAAGCATTTGGAGATCACTCCAACAACTAGTAGTGTAAAGCTCTTGATTCTATCCTATTTCTCGTACTCTGTGATTTCTGCAAAATTGAAGTTTAGTGTTTATAGGATAGCTTATTTCTTTGGGTGAAAAATTCTAAGCACAGCCAATTTCAGGGTACTCGCCGACCATTTACCATGGAGACTGTTAAGGCTGATGATACTGCTAAGATGGGTATGTGCAGCAGCTTCTTTGAGATACTTTAGTTGGAAATGTATGGAACTGCATGTTCTGAAGAAAATTTGATGCGTTTTTCTCAAATACATTTTGGTTTATGAAATAGCTCGTGTTCAATTCTAGAGAACTTGCAAAATATATGCTGACTACCGTTGTTGTATAATCTTGTTTTCTCAGGAAAAGGTCCTGAGCCTGCACCAAAGTTTGTCGGCAATGTGATCGCTTTCTTGTTAAACTTGGTAAAGACTCAGTATGATGCATTTAAGAATTATATAATTATACATGGTTTTTATTTTATGACTTGGTTCTTGTGGGACAGATTGGGCCAAAAGGTTTGGAATTTGCTCGTTATTCGCTCGATTACCATACCATCCGGAACTACCTATATGTAAACCGAACATGGGGAAAACAAAGGTGCAACTTTCAATATTAGTTATCTTATAGTAGCAACTATGATGATGGTTTCTTATATTTATAACCATGAAAACATGCAATTTACCCAAAGAGAACGTGAAAACATGCAGAGCTGATCAGCATATGCCTTCATATGCAAAGAAGATTGTCGATTCCTACAACAAGAATGGTGAAATCGATCGGATTCTTTCCACCAAGCCCAAGTGATCGCATTAGCTGGTGAAAATGTAAATGAAGTGGGAACTTCAATGTCTATGGAATTTTGTCCTTAATCTGTTCTGTAAGTACATATGAACGATTGTATAGCAATAATATTTTTGTTTAACTCGATCAATTCTTCGGTCCTTCAATATTCCATCCCAAGTTCTGTTTAGGCATCAGTTGCAGACAATGCAACGTAAGATAGTTTTTCTTATTGTCATTGTGGCTGGGATTATTGGTTAATTGAGTAGTGACTTTTCCCCCATTCAATATAGGCTGTGTTCCTTGAACTATCCATGACTTGCAGATATGATTTAGTTTAGAGTCGGCAATGTGACAATCGACAAGTAATCTGCTACATTTTTAGGTGAATAAATTTGGAGACTGATTTTTTTTGATGATATAAAAGCTCATGGAACATGCACACGCACACAGATTCAGTTATAAAAATATATGTTTTTGTTATCTACAGGCACACACATTAATATTCTGTTTAGAACTAGTACATGGTAGTCAGGCTGCACTTTCAGCTCATGCAGGGTTACCATGTCTCTACGGTTGAAGTGACCGAATAAAGTACGATGTTATAGTCAAAGATCAGCGGCGAGAGGGATGAATTATCTATCAAACACGAAGGAATGGGGGGTTTTCAGGTGTAACCAGGGAAGGATACGGGTGGTGGGTTAACTCCCCATGTGCTTTCGTAATTTCGATGGCAGGGTCGAGTAATGAGCCTTAGAAAATCCGAGTGAGAATTGACAAAAGTGCAGTTGCAGAATTCATTCTGTAGGGCCTTTACTTCTTTGCCTGGAAAGAGAGAGCCACAAGTAGCATATGCAAATGAATTGGTTTTTCTTCGTTTAGAATATTTTGGTTTGTGGTGGTAAAGAAATTTAGGGTGTTCTCTGTAAACTTCATCTACATGTCTGAATAAAAAGCATGGGGACTTAATATGGGTTGTCCCTTTACTACTACATTCCATTTAGTCAAGAAAGTAAATCTGCCATTTTTTACCAAGGTTCTAAAAGGCGCTCAACGCTAGTCAAGCGACGGGCTGAGACCTAGCGCCTAGGGAGGGATCTAGGCGGATTCAATTAAATTTATTATATAACATATAAATAAGTGTTTATTTTCACTCTAAAAAAATAAAAATTATCCTTGTATTGAGAATTTGGAAAAGTTAAAACTTAAAATTTAAGTCATCATGGCAGTGCCATCATCATAGGCTAATGCAATAAAAATAAGAAAAAGCGAAAACCATGTTTGAAAATTCACTGATTCATAATCTAGGTTCTTTTCTAGTAGGTTACCCAAAAAACCCTTAAGTTAATTAAAAAAATAATAAAAACAATAGAACCGCCTAGACACCCCTAGCCCCTACCTAATTTTTCTACATGTTTTGGCCTAAATCACATCGGCCCTTCACCGCCTAGCCTAAGCCGTTTTTTAGAATAGTGTTTTTTTTTTTGGACAAACGAAATTATTGACACTAAGGGGGAGGGGGTGGACTATGCCTCAAAATGGGCTAGCAACAATGTGGTTTAAATTCGACTTTAACGAAAATCGAACATAAGATCTTCAACTTACAAGTGAAGAAAAATACCACTAGATGTTGGTACTAGAACATCGTTTTTTCCCTTCCTTTTTGCCTTCAAAGGGAACTAAAAGAAGCATATCGTGCTAATCAGAGAGACTCAGGAGAGAAAGGAAATGAGATTAGGAGAAGGGTAGAAGACTGTTGGTTGCTGTATTAGTTAAATCTGTATGTTTAGGTGTTGATTTGAAGCATTTTTTATGATTATAAAAAGTTGCACATATATAGTGATCAAGATCTAACAATCAAAAACCCTGAAGTACCTTATGTTGAATTATCAGAGAGACGAGCCTTTAGTCTACTTTCAACAACACCGGTATTAGTTAAAGTGCGGTCATTCTATTTAAATTGTTTTTCTCCTTTCCCTCTAGGAGATGTGGGATTCAACATGCCCCTACATGTGGAGATCCACACACTGACAACCACGTGGAATCATACATGTGGAGATCCACACACTGACAACCACGTGGAACCAAGATGACTCATCCTACACGCGGGGCCAAAGGGACCCACCTGCTTTGATAAATTATCAGAGAGACGGGCCGATGGCCTACTTCCAACAACACCGATATTGTCCCCAACTTGGTAATTATCACCTGCAAAATCCATCAAGTATGGGGTTTTATCGCAAAAAGTCTTGGTATTAGTTAGAATGAGATAATTCTATTTAAATTGTTTTTCTCCTTTCCCTCTAGCCGATGTGGGATTCAATACCTTACACTTTCGAAGTTTTTGTATAAAACTTGTGATGTAGTAATTCTAGTTGTGAAATTATTGTTTGATGCAAGTGTTTTGTTTGATGCAAGTGTTTTGTTTTGTGATATCCCAAACAGAAATGTATCAAGTTTTATGCCAATGTTCACCAAAAGAAAGTTTTATGGCAAATGTTGAAACCCCCAAGGACCGTGTACATCCTACCACTGTGGGGCTGTATCCATGTGCAAGACAACATGGGAGGAGTCTCTCTGTAAAACCTATTTCTATCCGAATTCTGAAACCAGTTAATGCGGAATCATCATGACAAGATTTGTGATGTTGGACTGTGGTAGACCAAGGACCCACAGCAGTTATTGGGTCCTTGGTGGATCCAGTTCAGGGGAGGGGAAAATTAAAAACTTGTGAGTAAAGTAATTAAGAGTGTGTGGGTAGATTAACTTAGTCAGAAAAGCGTGTTTGTTTTTTTGTATTTAAAGTTTGAGTATTATAAGCTTGAGTGATTACAATAGCAAAACAAAGCTTGCAGGTAAAGTAATAAAGAGAGCAAATGTGAGTTATGTCAGTCGGTTAGAACAATATAGCTATTTTTTTTAAATTTGAATTTTACAGGCCAAAGTGATTAGAATAGAAAGACTTTGTGGGTTAAGCAACATAGAGAAAAGATGCGAGTTGTCAATTGGTAGAGCAGTGTGTCAACTTCTTTGCATTTAAGTTCAAGTTTTGTAGGTTAAAGAGATTAAAATAGAAAAAAGAACCTTTTTGTGTAAAGTAATAGAGAACAAATATGAATTAGGTTAGTTGTTCAAAAGAGTGTTGGCTTCTTTGCGCATTGTTCGACTCTTAAAGTGGTTAGAATAACAAATAGAACCATGTGAGTAAACTAATAGAGAGAGCATATGTATGTTTATTCAGTCTGTCAAAGCAGTATGTTGGGTTCTTTGCAATCAAAGTTCGAGTCCTATAAGCTAGAGTGATAAAAATAGCAAAATGATTTTACACTCCATTTTTTTCTGAATAAATTAATAGAGAACCAGTCCAGTCGACAAATAAAAAAGTTTACAAAAAAAGGAAAATGTGAGCTTGTAGATCATTTCTCGTTAAATATGAAAAAATAATTGAGGGAGATAGAGATTCTCTTCATTTGACTGGAAAATGGATTATTATTTAATTTGAATAATAGATTCCAAGGGAAATAAAGAATAAGCCACATCTTCCTTTTATGGCCAATTACTTTCATATGTTAGGGGTTTTTCTATAGGAGAGGGCTACCTTCTGTATTCAACATTATTTTCTACACAAACTGATCCCAGTTCTGGTTGATCAGTCACCAAATAATATTTGATTTTCAATGGGGAAAAAAGGATATTTCCAATTTCTCTGTCATTTTTGCAAGCCCTCCTCCATCTTTAAAAATGTGAAATGCATCTCCTATGGCGAGCTGCAACAGATTTTCTCTTCTGTTTGGTCTCTTCTTTCCAGCTCTTGGCAATGTCCTGTGACACACCAATGGCATCCAATGAGGCTCCAGATAGTCCTCTCCTTGTAAACCCTACTGCATACAGTCCTCCATTCCCTTTCCACCCATTTGGGAATGCATTCTTCGGAATTCCTTCTCTTGAAAAGAATTCATTTTCCTACACAACATGAACATTCCAAACAAATATTTAGTGTTAAGTCATTCAGTAATTTCATTTCATGCATGCAGTTGGTAAACGTGGTAGTAATTCATAATCGGAATTCAATCTTTTATTTTGAATTATGGATAAATAAACAGAGACTCGTTCTTTTGGGCAATGTGATGGTCAAACGTTCTTGTCACTTACTCTGGGATTTGATTAAGGGGTTGAGATTAAAATGTCAAAAATACTTTCTTCATCGTAAACATCGAATTCAAAAAAATAGAAACTATTCACTTCTTCATCTGTCTAATGACCAAAGGGACATTTCTGTAAGTTAAAAAAAATACCATGATTGCATGTGGAAATAACTTCCATAAGTTAGCTGTCACATGGATTGAATTGAAAGTAGAAGCTTCCAAACACATAAATATTGAAATATTCCAAAAATAAATTTAAAATATTCTAACCTTGAGCCATGAAGGAACATTGCTGCGGTACCCTGTTGCTAAAACAACAGAATCAATCTCAAGATTTTGTCCATCAAGAAGTTCAACTCTGCCACGAGAGAACCTCTTGATTCCAGGAACCACCTTGACCTCACCAGATCTTATTTTTTCCAAGGCACCAATATCCAAAACTGGAGTCTTCCCTGAATTGTTTTTTAGCTCCAAGGGACCTAGTGTCGGCCTTTTCAGACCATATTTTTCAAGATTTCCAAAAATTAGCCATGCCAGCATCAGCAATATCTTGTCAGCAAGCCAGAGTGGCAGCCATTTCATCAATAAAACTGCTAACTCAAAGGTTGACTTTCCAAAAATTTCCCTTGGCAAGACATGAACCTGTTAGGTGCAGACAAAACTAGAGGAATAAAAAACTCATGCTCAAGTTTGACTTGTAATAACAAAACAAGAGTACTAAAATTTTATTAAAAAATTGTCGTTCATGAGATTTGAACTGAAGAAACATAGTTTTTAGAATTTCTTTACTTACCGAACTTCGAACCACTATCGAAGGGCTTGCATTGTGATTGCAAAGATCAAGAGAGACTTCCATGCCCGAATTTCCACACCCAACAACTAGAACTTGCTTGCCATGATAAGCCACGCCAGACTTATAGTCACAGGCATGCACGACATTCCCTTTAAACTCTTCCAAGCCTTCGAATTCCGGCACTACTTTCTCCGAATTCTCTCCAGTTGCCACCACGAGCCACCGGCAAATGTACTCAACTTCAGCAGTAGCAGAAGGGTTTGAGTCGCTCGTCGAAATAATCGTCTTGACCCTCCAAAGACCAAAGGTTTCGTCATACTTGGCAGACTGGACATTCTCATTGAAATTGGGACTTATATAAAAGTGGTTTGCATAGGACTCCAGGTAGCTTATGAATTGGTCTTTTGTGGGGTATTCTGGGAAGTCCTCAGGGAATGGAAGATTGGGCAGTTGGCAGAATTGCTTTGGGAGGTGTAGTTTGAGGCGATCATATGTGCGTTTTTTCCAAAGAGAAGCAATGCAATCGGCTCTTTCTAGGACAATGAATGGGACACCTTGTTCTTTAAGTCCAGCACCAACTGCTAGGCCTGAAGGACCTGCCCCTACAATTACAGGACCATTCACCCAAATGCACCTCCTAGAAAAAAACTCAATATCTGTGTCAAATGATTGATGAAACATTTGGGGTATGTAGTGAGAAAAGACAGTTTGTGAAAAATATTGGTTTCCCAATTGAGTACTGGTTGCACAAAATTATAGAAGTGGGAGGAAGTTGGAGAGATAGCTGTTTTGGTAATGGAGAGAGAGAGAGAGAGAAAGACGATGTTTTGGAAGTGATGTGTGAGAGGGGAGAGAGGAATGAAAGGTTTAAATAGAGAGAGGGTTCTTGGCCTTGAGAACTAGGCATGTGACTGAGATTTCAAAACTATGGTTAAAGCCTTTAAGGGTCATTCATCGAATGATAAGCTTGTGGCCGTCTTGTTTTGTTTGTTAAATTAATTAATTCAGTTAAGAGTTTAGAAACCCACCAAATGTAAACTCAATATGTACAACTCAATCACATGCTCATGTATATTCTATGTTCAAATTTGCAAGAATGTGAAGAAATGTCTCACATCAGAAGTTTATCAAATTTTTTTATGCTCTTGTAAGTAGTTGAACTATTCCTCATATTCTCAATTGATTTTATGTTAGAACTTCAATTGCCTTGAAACTTTTCGTAAAATGGTTGTTTCTTCGTCTATTCTTTTCTTTTTATTTTGGACAAGTCATGTTGAAGGAGGACAAATGCAAAATTTCTAATAAAGAATATGAAAAATCACAATTAACTGAGCTACAAGTCCCTTTTTTTCATCTTCCAAGAGTAGGAGTACACCAGCCAAGCCACCCACTTGTGGTGTGGTTACCGGGAATTAACCATGCTATATAGATACTCACAAATCTATGTGATGGAGCACATGGTTTGTGGCCTACTTCTCCAGGGTTTGGTTCCAATAAGATAAGGCGGCCCTATAAACTTAGGCCACAACCGATTTCGTGACTTCTTTGGTTTTAACTCCCTCTCTGAGCAGTCAAAACTGTATTGTCCAATCAGAACTGAATAATGTAACTCAAGAACCAACACTACTTGATCAAAAGAAAGAAAGGAAAAAAAAAAAAAAAAACCGACACTACCAACACTAATTGATCAGCACATGTTTAAATTTAGAAAGTTTTAATGAAACATTCATGGTACTGTTTACTTTTAACGTTAAAAATATTTTTTGCCTAAAAAGTCACTCCTGGTACTATTCACTTAACACTTTTATTTTGTCATTTTGATTAAAACTAAAGTTTTTAATGACTTTTCGTTAGTTTTCCTGTAAATTTAACCCTATGCCTCTTCTTTTCTCTACCTTTCCTTTCTATTCTCTCACCCCAACGACAAATAGAACAGTCTTCTCCTTTAGACGCCGGCTCTAATTCCAGTTAAGTTTAGTGGAAATTTGACCTTTCAGTTTTTTACTTCACCCGATATGTTAAGTAATAATGTATTTAATATTTTTTTTCATCTCTTTTTGAGCTCCAATTATTGAGAGAACCAATCAAATACTTAGAACATAAACATTTACTATATATTGCATCTCATCTATTAAAAATTTATTAAAGGAATTTGACAGCGCCACGTAAGAAACTAAAGGCTCGGTTGGAGAAGTTGCTGCTTTTTTTTTTTTTTACTGCTATATGTCTACGTGCCAGTTTAAACATCTCCTTCTGAAATCCTTTAACATATCAAACTGACAATAAATTCCCAATAAGCTATAGTAACAATAACCTATAGTAAGATTCCTCAAGCTATTTGAGCTTATATTGACTTGATTAACATCAAAATAAGTTGTTTTCTATTAATATATAAATGTAGAAATTATTATATCTATCTTACACACCATATGTGACATTTGATATGAGGCAGAGTCATGCAAATTATGTTCCGCTAGTGCTTTTTATTATCGTTGCACTATAGAATTATTCACGATACTTTGTGGTTTATCTGAGTAGGGTCAAGATTGCATTCTGTTGTGGCTTATTTTATCTAACAAGAGAGAGGAGCGGCATCATAGTAAGGAGGGGGGGAGAGAGAGAGAGAGAGATGTGTGTATGAGGGATGTGTGTAGGGTTGTGTTATTTCTCCTACGCAGTGTTTTTATTTATTGTAATAAGGGAGGGAACAATCCTTATCCTCCAAGGAATACAATCCTAATAGAGAAAAATAACTATTATCAAATGTAATCTAGGATTTACACAATCACACTTTAATATATATCTATAACACTCCCCCTTGAGTGTGTAAATACTCAAGCAGATTCGTCATTAGGTAGAGTTGAGGAAGTCGACTCATCGGCATTGATTTCGGGAACATGCCAATCTCAAACAAAAGGAACTTGCTTATGGAACAAAATCTCACAAAAAGACCCAATGGCTATGGTAAAACCCGAGCTGGGACAAAAACCCATAGTTTAAGGAAAAATGTGTGAGAAAATGCGAAGTCAAATAAAAAGTTTACAGGACGTCATCAGGGATATGATCAACCCAAGGTGGGTGCCTCGTCAAAACCTCATTAGGTTGCAAAAATCCAAAAGGAAAAATGCTACTAAACGAAAGGAAAAAGAGTACATTAAAATCAAGCGAGTATATTTCAGGATACTCCCCATGAGTTTGACATAATTCCAAAGAGAACTAACAATGTTACAACTAAGAAAGTTTACACATACCTATTCCTTGAACAAGCTTCTGAAACATTGCCTTCGACAGTGATTTAGTGAAGAGATCTGGCAGGTTGTCTTGGGAACAGATTTGAGTGACTTCAATCTTCTGATGCTTTTGTTGTTGATATGAGAAGAAGAGCTTCGACGCAATGTGCTTGGTGTTGTCTCCTTTGATGTAACCCTTCTTGAGCTGTTCGATTCATGTTGCATTATCTTCATAGGTCATCATAGGGACGTCAATGACGGGGTAAAGATCGCAGAAGCTTCGAATATGGCCCATAACTACTCTCAGCCATAAGCATTCCCTAATAGCTTCATGTAAGACGAGTATTTCAACATAGTTAGATGAAGTGCAAACTAAGGTCTATTTGGTTGACCTCCAAGATATTCCAGTTTCTCAAACGGTAAAGACATAACCCGTTTGAGAGCGCGCTTTGTGCGAGTTAGATAAGTAACCAGTGAACTAAATAGGGTTACGGCACCTCTCAATGATCTATAGGGATAGAACATGCCCAAATTCGTCATACCCTTAAGGTAGCGGAAGATGTCTTTGACACCAGTCCAATGTCTACGTGTTGGTGCATTATTGTATCTTGCCAAAAGATTAATAGTGAAGGAGATGTCGGGTCTGATGCATTGAGCTAAGTCCAATAAAGCACCTATTGCAATTAGATAAAGAACTTCGGGTTCCAAAATCTCTTCTTCATCCTCTTTCGGATGGAAGAGATTTCATTTTGCATATAGCGATCAAACGACCATAGGAGTACTCGAAGGCTTCACTTTATCCTCATTAAAACGGCCCAAAACTTTTCGGGTGTAGTTTGATTGATGTACTAAGATTCCATCTGAACAATGCTCTATCTCAATACCGAGACAATATCAAGTTTTCCTAAGATCTTTCATCTCAAATTTTGACTTCAGGTGCATGGCAGTTTTCTCAAGCTCTTAAGAAGTTCCGATGAGATTTCAATCTTCGACATAAACTGCAACAATTGGAAAACTAGAATGTAACTCCTTAATGAACACACAAGGGCATAGTTCGTTGTTCATACATCCCTAACTAATCAAATACTCACTCAGACAGTTATACCACATTCTTCCAGATTGCTTCAAACTGTAGAGTGAATGCTTCAAGTGAATGGAGAGCGTGTTCCGTGGTCTAGAACTATTTGATTCAATCAATGTAAGTCCTTCGGGAACTTTCATGTAGATTTCCATATCAAGATCCCCATAGAGATACGCGGTTACCACGTCCATAAGCTGCATGTTACAGTTTTTCTTTCTTTTTTTTTTTTTTTTTTTGTTTTTTTCCAGAAACTACCAAACTAATAAGGTAGTGAAAAGTAATCACATCCATAACAAGTGAATAAGTTTCATCATAGTCAGTCTTATGCGTTGTGAGAAGCCTTGCACAACAAAACAAGCTTTGTAATGTACAATTTCGTACTTCTCATTACTCTTCTGAACGAAACCCCACTTATAATCAATGGATTTCATATATGTAGGAGTAGGAGCTACGTGCCCAAACACCTACGTTTCACAAGCGAATCGAGTTAGACTTGGATTGCTTGTTTCCATTTTGACCAATCAAATCTATGTTGACATTCATTAACAGAACGAGGTTCAATATCATTGCTCAACATGATCTCAGTAGCTACTACATATGCTAATGCATCGTCGATTATCATTTCATTTATACACTAAACATCATCCAAGCTAGCATAATGGACCGAAATCTCGTGATTCTCAGGGGCTAGATTTGTCTCTTCTAGGACGTTTTCTTAATCTAGAATTTCCTCGTGTGTTGGATATAATAAAGAGGTGTTAGTCAAATTCACGGTAGGCTCAACACCCTGTGTCGTGGGTTTCCTCTTTTGGGGTTGTGAATCCTTTGAACCAAGAGGTTTGCCACATTTTTGCATATGAGCAAAGGATTGGCTAGTTGCCAATATATATGGATCGGCCAAAGTGGCATCTCGAGCCTTCAAGAGGGAAGTTTGCCATACATTTGATACATTCATCTTTGCAAGCACATTCGCAGCTGTTATAAGTGATCTTGTCACTCTTACTAGATTTGTGAAAGCATCTGGTGTGACGACCCATCCCTAATCCTTCCAAAAATTTCTATTCGACTATATAATTTGATGATTTTACCCTTTTGGGGAAAAATGAAATCTGACGTGGATGTGGTTTTCGACTTTTATTTCTTTTTCCTAGTTTAGTACCTAAATAGTACTCGTCATTACGAATGTGTGAAAGTGAGTTAAACCTGAAACGGATCAGTAACAAAAAAGTTACGCTCCGTTAAATTCAATAACCACGTGTATTTTCTACACACGAGTGCAAATTATTAGTGTCGGAAACACTGTAAGGAAGCAAATTTTGTACAAAATCTGAAATTCAAAGCCATCCCACAAAAATGGGATCCGTGTTCCCTATCCCACAACTAATCAAAAATTTTCTTGCTTATTTTCCTCTCCTCCATTCCTTTCCCCCGATTTTCATCACAGCCAATCAAGAACCATCCCTCAAACTGGCACCCAAGCAGTGACGTTCATTCACACT